CTATCCACGTCATCATTTACCCAGAATGCTTTGTGTGTAAATAAAATGGCTCCGTCTGAGTTAAAATATATTTTTAAAAATTTACAAATCTAAACATCCTACAGTATTTTACTCTTTTTATTTTACAGTTAAAATATATGTTTATCAAATAAAGTCTAATGGTACAACTTATCAGGGATCCCTTTAATAAAGCTCAGAAGAGGGCTGGCTTTTCTCGTGGTTTTAGCTAAAATCAAATTGATCTTCTATAAAATCATCTGGTTTTGCTCATTTTGTCTACAGTGTGCATCATCAAAGGTCACAACACACCGTTCCCAATCGACCAGCACTTTTTGCTTTTTAAATTGCATGTTTTATGTCATGAGAAGACAAAGATTTTGAATTGAAGACTTCCTGTGAGCTGAAACCTGTTTGTGTGTTGCTTTGTTCTCACTTGCTGCTGCTAAGGATATGTTTACATACATGTGGCATGAGATCATCTTAAAGCTGTTGTCAAGAAGTTCATTCCTAATATGCTGAAAAAGGAAACAGTGATTTTAACACATTCTTTTTAATGTCCTGCCACGTCTGTGACCAAAACAGACTAAAAAAGCCAGGGCAAAATCACTCTGTGTTGGATTCTGAGAGTGCATCTTAATCAGAAAACTTACTGAAGTACACGTGTGAACAGAAACTGCCAACACAGAAGCACTGTGTGGCACTTTTATTTATTTATGGTTTTATGTAAAATCCAGTTTGCATTTGTGCTGCTTGTTGGTCTATTAGTAGGGGAGACCGGGGACAGAAGCAACAAGGGACGGTTGCAACAGGTCATTTTTCTCCAAACAGAAACAGTGTAGAGTGATGACACTCAAACTGTACATGCTCAGTTAGATGTCCCACCTTGTAAAGAAAAAGTAAACAGATTCAAAAACTGATCCAGGATTTATTTGAAAAAAGGGAAAAAAAAACTGTTTTTGAGGAACCAAAGTATTTTTTTGTCTTGCTTTATTTTTGTTCTACTGTTGTCACTGTTTTTGTGATCCAGCTCAAACTTATATGGTTTAAAACAAGTGATC